TATATATATATATATATATGGATGATTTCCCTTTAGCTTCCCTCTGATCTGCTACCTTGTCCATTGGTCTTCGATTTCCACTTTTGCATTTTCTTCATTCTGTCTTTTATTTTGGGAGTGAAACCATGACTCTGAAGTTGGTCTCAGGGTCTGTGAGCTCCAAGAATAACTGCCATTAGCAGCGGAAAAAAGGGGGCTCTATGCATTGTTCCTCTCTTACCCTACAAGAACCCAAGAACGTTTTGTTATACACCATAGCCTGAGACTAGCTGTGAATCAGGAAGTGGTGAGACGTTTGGAAGTGAGATAACTGTGAGCATGACCTAATTGTTCTAGGATATTCTTTCCTCAGTAAGATAAAACTGTAAACCAGTGAATTACTCTTTACTTCAGGAAATTCTTGCAAATTAGTTTATCTGAACTAAGAGTTTGTTTGCATGGGCACACAGTTCTACCAGGATGATAGATTGCTCATTTAATCCGTTTATTTATCACTATTTTCTTTAAGACATGTGTTGCTATATTCACCAATCCTGCAGGACTGTGTGATAAACTTTGTCTAATCTCAACTCTCCACCTTGAAATATCCCCCTTAAACCGGATGACAGGATCCATAAATGCCCTCTTCTGATCTGCCTCTTGTGTTTTCTACATTACAATCAAAGGAGGAGACGGAAGTGGGTTACATGAATTCCTTTGGTGATAGATAAGGGAGATGGGAGAAAGCAAAGCGGGGAAACCTCTGGGATTGGATAAAAAGTAAAATGATAGACGCATGCTTCTTTTACATAGGTGGGTGCAGGCTAGTGAACAGTCAACAATTAACCCCACAACCATGAGGGAATTTGTGGCCTTTGCCCTGGTGCATTGGTTGTACCCTTGAGGGGTCGGGAAAGAGGGAAGTAACCCTGACATTCTAAAGGTATGCTATCTTAGATGCAAAAAGACAATAGGCTCAGTTAAGATCAAAATTGATCTTTGTCAGGGAGGATACCAGCCTAGGAGATGACTACCCACCATAAACTGCTTTTAGTTCAAGTTTTAATTTCAGACCATCCTTTGTGGTTACTCTAGGTCTCTGAGTTTGCAAGGCCTCCATGCAGGCCTTCCCTGAGCTTATCAGGTTACCACGTGGCCCCTTTTTGTCCACACCCTTAATCTAAAGCACAGCAAATGAGTTTTAGACACAAGTTTAAAACTAGCTCATCATGCTAGTGTCAGTTTATGCTGTGACCCTCCCCCCTGGTCTGACACCCTGATCCCAGGAATCATGGGCATGTGAAATGAATGCATTGCAAAGCACTGAGCTAGTGCATCGGACTCTGTCCTGTTCATAATATACTTACATTGCATCAGAAGTAACCATGGGGTTAGTGCCCTTTCACTCACTAGCAGAGTGTGTTGTTTCAGTTTATTTCAGTTCTGTGAATTCTGACATACAATATCCTATATAATAAAAGGCTAATATGCAAATTGTCCCATTGACCAGATGTTGGACTGGGAGTTCGACTAGGGGGCGGGGCCAACCGGCCAATTCCCACAGCCCCCCCCTGCCAGCCCTGAGATTGGCCCCTCCACCCTCATTGGGGGCAGGGCTGGCAGGCTAACCTCCTGCATTCCCTCCCCCAGCTGGCCTGTGCTGATCGGCCCCAATCAGGGCCAGACCCCATCCGTGCACGAATTCGTGCACTGGATCTCTAGTCTTTTTATAAGATAGGCAGCTAAATTTGAAGCCCTCCCTTCCTTTTGAATTCATATCAATTTAGAAAGGAATGTATTTTTTGAATCAATTCTTGTGCTTTATCTGTTGGCATTCAAGTTTATTTAATTAGTAGGCTTTAATTTGCACTAAACAGAAAAGCCAGAATTCAGAGCAAGCATGGGCGACAGGAATGTTAGCCTAATTGGTTGATCTGTGTTAATTATTAGGTAACTTGGCTAAACAAGAAAGCCATTCACAGACAAGGACCAAGTGATTGTAAAGTCTCTCTTTAACAAAGCCACCCACCCTGAGAAGAGTCTAGCAGTCTTGGAGCCACAATGTGTTATTTACAATGGCTCTTGTTAGAGGTTCTGTTTTTAGGAGGAGGAGGAGAATTAAGGCTAGGATTTAAGGTCAGGAGATACAAATCAGAATGCATGGAAGCTACACAATGGAGGAAGATCAGCTTCAAGGATTTGGATGATGTTTAGAAGGAAACAAAGAACATAATTTGTTTTATTCTTAAATAATTAATCGAGCCTTTGAAAAGACAGAGAACAATCTAGATAAAATCCAAACCACCTTAAAATGAATCAACAAAAGGTAACTCTGCTCCCAGGATTGAAATCATACTGTATATATGGTGTGGGTTTCTGACCCTTTTACTTAACATACCGTGAGGATTTTTTTTCCTTCTAGAGTACTAATTATTCCTCAAAAACGCTTGCCTAACTTTACAATAAAACTAGATAAACCGTAGGTCATACTTTAACCTTCTTATGTGAGAAGGAAGATAGTGAACAAGATCAGTGTAGAGAGGGTATCTGTTGGGTCCAAATGGTTAAGTGGAAGTGCCCAATGTAGAGAGGAGGGAGGTTTTGTGTCCCTCTTGTAACCGGACACAAAACGGGTCCAGGCCACCTATCACCACTTGAGCCAAATTAAGCAGAGACAGGGTTGAATCATATGAGCATTTATTCCAATAATGGCAGCAGTGTGGGGAGTGCAGTAGGTCATCCTGTAAATTCTGCTCTACCTCTTCTCCCCTGTTGATTATATACGGACTACAGGCCTGATGCACGAAATTCGTGCAAGAGTGGGCCTTTCTTCACTCGGCTGCCAGCACTGGCTTCCCTCCTGCACCCGGGACCCAGGCTTCCCTCTGGCTGCCAACAGGCACCTAGGACCCGGGCTTCCCTTGCAGCCCTGGCTTTGTCCGAAAGTCATCTGGAAGGACATCAGGTCTAATTAGCATATTACACTTTTATTATTATAGATAAGGAAGAAAGGCTACATTCCGGCGGGGACGGGGAGTCTGTGGTCTCCATCCAGGATCTTGAAATCTGATAACAAGGTAGTTACTTTTCAACGGTGTTAAAAGCCAGCTCCACCTGGGACTGGAGAATGGTCAGCATTCCTGAGGCGAACTCTTAGTGGCACAACTGAAGAAAATGCTAGAGGTTAGAATTGCGATAGTGATGATGTGTCTCCATAAGACTTTGCTGTGAGACCAAAAGTAAGATGTTTTTGTAGTCCATTCACAGCAACTGAGATAGTAGAGTCTTGAGAGAGGTTAGTTACCAAGATCACAACTATGAGACTCCATAGTTGAATTTGGCCAATGGTAGCTTGAAATATTTTTTACCAAAGTATTGGTAAAAAATAGATTTGAATATTTCCAGGCAGAGCATATACTCTCGGGTTTGGCATTGTCTTTTTTTTTTTTAATTGATTTCAGAGAGGGAGAGAGAGATAGAAACATCAATGATGAGAGAGAATCATTGATCAGCTGCCTCCCACACACCCCCCCACTGGGGATCGAGGCTGCAACCCAGGCATGTGCCCTGACTGGGAATTGAACTGACGACCTCTTGGTTCCTGAGTCGACACTCAACCCCTGAGCAACACCAGCCATGCAAGTTAGTCCATTTTTAGTAAAGGCTCTTCCAAGAACAGAAAATGGACAATAATCTGCTCGCTATTAAGGCAGACAAGAAGGAGCTAGTGGGTGTTCCAGGAAAGGATAAACATTTTGGTTTAGTTAGTTCAACTCATCTTCGAGGACAGGACCAGTCGATGGTGGAGGCAAAGGGCATTTT